GCGGATGGATATTTGCATCGGTATAAAATATTATTAATACTGTTATTAAATTATATTATTCATGTGAAAAACGATGAAATGCGAGTTGTTATGAACATTTTTAACATTTTTATTTAATTTTTGTTATTCTATAAATAAGTTAGATTATTATATCAGATAACATTTATTAATGACATTTTTTGATACCTAACATATATATCTATATGTGAGTGACCAAAAATTTCATTAAATTATATGTTCACTTTTATATATGATTTCACACTGCTTGTTTTATTGAATTTTATAGTTTTTTATATAATTTTTCATTAAAAAATATATATATATATATATTAAATCAATATTTAAGTATGAAGATTATATATAATGATCCTTTTTTATATTTAGCCTTAAGTAATTATAAATTTGATTTTTCTAAGATTTATATAATGGTTTAATATTTATTTTCTTTACTGTTAATAGTTATTTATTTTTTGAATTCATTGATCAAAGTTGGAATAATGATATCATGGAAATTAAATTAAAAATCAGAAGCTAATTTGACTGACTTCACCTCAGTGGTTCCTTCCACCATTTTAAATCTTGGAACTACTTCTCCATAAAAATCAGTTGTTACAATGCTTCATTTTCTCAGGTATAATATTATTTATCCACATAATTTATGTATAAAAATGAATTATGTATCATTATTTTTAATATAAATCCTTACTTTAGTTTTTATTAAGGTTTAAATTTATTTTTAAATAAAATTCATTCTGATATAATCTCAAACATTACAAAGTTAATTTTTTAAACTTTTGTTTAGTTAATTGGCAATTATTTTATTTATACATATTTAATTACTTTATGTTTAAGAAGAGATGAAAATTTAAAACTTTTACTTTATTTTATATCGTTTTAGAAAGGGGGGTATGTTCTGTATAGAATGGAATGCTTTGCTAGTATTATTATTCTCAAAACCCCTTAATAGTCATAGAACAATTGAAGGGGTATTTCAATTTCTACTTATAATATATTTTCATTATCTGCTAAATAAATAAAAATATTTTATTTTGAAAACACAAATTATACTCTGAATCAAGAAATGCCAACCGATTCTGTAAAAGGCACCTGTGGTGCATTTTAATAATTTACTTTTGATAATTTGCTTGTAAATAAATATTGTACATTATATATATATATATATAAATACAGCAAGGAGTGTCTGTTGCATGCAGGCACTTGGGGAGCAGCGCCTCCACGAGTTACCTCAGCTAAGTACACCATGCAATCTTGCCAGAACAGTAAACTGAGAAGAGCACATGTACAGTACACAGTTTTGCATTTATACTTCCTAAGAAACCAGCCTAGATGGGCTCCATCATTTCGACTCCATCATTTTTTCGGTACTCCTATTTCATCCTTTCTTCCTGAGAAAGAACTAACATCCTCTCCACTCCATGAACACAAGAATCCAACCATAGGATTGGCTATATCTCTTGCAGAAACCCTCTTTCTTCTACTTTTACTATGTCCATAGGTCTTTCCAGTTCATCCTAGTGGTTTCAAATACCGAAGAAGCCATCTTAAGAAAAGCAGTGTCCAATTTTACTCTACTTAATCACTATTTTTCTTTTTTCAGGTCTTCACGATCATCTACGTTGTTCCAGCTACTGAACCAGCAAAGATGCAGTTTTGCTCTAATTAATTACTATTTTTCTCTCGTTAGGACTTCTCGATCATCTTAGTTGTTCTAGCCACTGAACTAGCAAAGATGCAGTATTACTCTAATTAATTACTATTTTTCTCTCCTTAGGTCTTCTCGATCAACATAGTTGTTCCAGCCATAGAACCATCAAGGATGGAGTTTACCACTACTTAGATAACTTTTTTCCTTTTATTAGGTCTTCTCGAACATCTTGGTTGTTCCAGCCATCGAACCAGGAGGAGGCAGTTTTACTCTACTTAATTACTAATTTTCTCTCCTTAGGTTGTCTCGATCATGTTAGTTGTTCCGCCACAGAACAATCAAGGATGCAGTTTTACTCTAATTAATTACTATTTTTCTCTCCTTAGGTCTTCTCGATCACCTTAGTTGGTCGAGCCATTGAACCAGTAGGAGGCAGTTTTACTCTACTTAATTACTATTTTTCTTTCCTTAGGCCTTCTCAATCATCTTAGTTGTTCCAGCCGTAGAACCATCAAGGATGCAGTTTTACTCTAATTAATTACTATTTTTCTCTCCTTAGGTCTTCTCGATCATCATAGTTGGTCGAGCTATTGAACCAGTTGGAGGCAGTTAATTACTAATTTTCTCTCCTTAGGTCGTCTCCATCATGTAAGTTGTTCCCGCTATAGAACAATCAAGGATGCAGTTTTACTCTATTAATTACTACTTTTCTCTCCTTAGGTCTTCTTGATCATCTTAGTTGTTCCAGTCATAGAACAATCAAGGATGCAGTTTTACACTGATTCAAAAATATTTTTCTCTCCTTAGGTCTTCTCGATCATCTTAGTTGGTCCAGCCATTGAACCAGTAGGAAGCAGTCTTACTCTACTTAATTACTATTTTTCTTTCCTTAGAACTTCTCGATCATCTTAGTTGTTCCAGCCACCGAAGCAGCATGGTCTTCTTGAACCAGTAGGAGGCAGTTTTACTCTACTTAATTACTATTTTTCTTTCCTTAGGTCTTCTCAATCATCTTAGTTGTTCCAGCCGTAGAACCATCAAGGATGCAGTTTTACTCTAATTAATAAATATTTTTCTCTCTATAGGTCTTCTCGCTCATCTTAGTTGTTCCAGCAATAGAACCATTAAGGATGCAGTTTTACTCTACTTAATTAACTTTTTTTCTTTTATTAGGTTTTCTTGATCATCTTAGTTGTTCCAGCCACTTAACCAGGAACATTAAGTTTTACTCTACTTAATTACTATTTTTCTTTCCTTAGGTCTTCTGGATTATAATTATTGCTTTTCCAGCTTTAAAGCCAGACATAAGAGAATAAGTTATATATAAATCCTGAAAGGGGAGCAAGCGTCCCTACGGGTTACCTTAGCTTATTACTATGCAAACTCGCCAGAACATTACACAAAAAAAAATCAATGAGCACATGTACACAGCTTTTCATTCATGTTTCCTAAGAAATCACCCATAATTTTTCGAATAAGCATACACTTTTTCTCATTTATTTTATGTATGGATACTCTGTTTTCCACTGTTCCAACAATTTTATAGCTGCTTAGAGGCAGGCCAATGGAAAAAGGAGTAGTATAAATTTTCTGAATTTTCATTTCTTTTTCTCCTTTACCTTGGAAATGAAGGATCAGGTTTTCACCGTTTCAACGGTTTTTTCACTATGTAGATGTCGTTCATGTGAAAATGTGAAAAAGACAGAAAATTTTCAACACCAATGCTCCATTTTTGCCTACATCTACATAGATAGAAAACAGTTGGAATAGTGAAAAATGTATCCATTTACAAGTTAAAAGAGGAAAAGCGTATACAAATTCGGAAAATTTTCTAAACCATTTCCCCATTTTTACTTATCCCTACATAGCTGGACAACTGGTGAAAAACCGATCCCTTATTTTCGAGATAAAAGAGGAAAAGAAAATGAAAATTTTCTACACCATTCCCTATTTTGGCTTACATCTACATAGTCGGAAGACAGTTGGTACGGTGAATAACCAAACATTCATTAACGAGATAAAAAAGGGAAAGTGAATGAAAATTCAGGAAATTTGTAACAATCCTGTTTCCATTGGTCTGTCTCTAAATAGCTATAAAATTTTTGGAACAGTGGAAAACCGAGCATCCATTCACGAGATAAAAGAGTAAAAAAAAGCCATTGGAAATTCGTAAAATTTTCTACACCATTTCCCCATTTTTGCCTACATCTACATAGTCACAAAACAGTTGGTATGGTGAAAAACTGAGCATTCGTTTAAAATATAAAGAGGAAAAGCGAATGAAAATTCGGAAAATGTTAAATGTTAACCGACGGTATTACCATAGAAAGTGCCCCTGACAGTTAATAGAAAATATAAAATGTTTTATAGTCGCTTTCCTTTTAGTCTATCCCTAAACAGAGGAAAATCTTGTGTATTTGATTTTTTGATTAGATTACGCGATTATGATTACAATTATAGTGATTTTGATTAAAATGATTATAATTACTGTGATTATGATTACAATCGTGCAATCAAATAATTGTGTTAGTTTTAATTATAATCGTAATCGTAATCGTTGATTATGATTATGCCCATCTGTGCTACACACCTAACTCAGGGTAGTGTAAATGTTAAATAAAATATAGTAAAATATTTATATATGCTTTCCACTTCCCTGACCGAAGTATATTTTATTATAACTGTTACAAAGTGAATTCTGTTAAATGAATAGCAATAAATATTATATGTTAATTATTTTCAATAATGGACCTTTCTAATCGATGAGGAAAGAAACTCTCAAAATTTGAGATTTTATCTTACAAGGTATCTTTACAACAGGTGCTCAGACCTGGAAGGGGGCACCCACCACTTGCTAGAAATAAAAAGAAGTTACAAAGCTTGTGAAAATAATTAAATATAGCCTATTAATAAAACAACTGAATTAGAAATATATTGAACAAAAAAAAATCAAATATTACTTCATATAAAACAATTTTTATTGTTTTAAAAAATTTTCAATTCAATCAATGTTTCGATGGAGATTGCGTCATTGTCCAGGGGTGAAAAATTTCTAAGACTGGCACTGATCAGTACAAATGATATTTGAGCAAACAGCTTTTTAATTGAAGACTTTATAGTAGATTCCAAAATATATGATCTAATTTTACAATGGATTAGATTGATAGCTATAATATTCAATAGTATTATGCAAAAATAAACTCTTTCTTCTTAATAAAAACAGTCAATTATCTAATGTAAAAAACTTTCTTTTAATATAAACATTTTTGATTCTATACATTATAAGGAATATAAATAGAATAGTTGTGCGGTTTAATTTATAAAATAATTACGTTTCAAGTTTTAAAATATTGTATTTATTATATTTTTAAATATAATTCTCATAATTTTGGATATTAATTCATTTCAATTATGATTAAGATTAAATAAGATGATAGTATATTTACATAAAAACATAAACTTTATAAACAAACATAGCAAGGTAATATTATTTGTTTAAGTAATATTGAATACATAACAAACACTGAGGTAAATATTGTACATACATACATTTGACTTATTTTTATGTTCATACATTTCAAGCTTATAAAGAAACATTAACATATTAACAGTATTGTCATCAGTATAATCCATTTTGTTAAAAAATCAGAGGTCCATTACTTTTTTCTGACAGGACTCCCTGTCAGGCAATGTTACTGCGAATAACTGATTCTTCATCACAACCCATATACTTCCAGTTGGAGCATTTTCAATCATGTAAAGAGTAGCTTTAGCAACTGACTCAGTTCTGGAAGTTCAAATATATTTTATTTTTTATAAAATCATGGAATAAATAAATGATATAATAAGCACAGAAATAAAACTAAAATGTTATTGTAAAATTAATGAATGATATGAAAGGAGACAAGTCTCTCGAGAACTATGAAACTCAGATTATTTAATAGCAATGAATGTAGTTCTATTCAACATGAAAAATCTTGAGGTAGACTTAGTGCCAGTAGAACAACTGAAGTATGGCATTAATCAAGGAGCTGTAAGAAATAATTGACGGTGTGTGGATGCTATCAGAATGATCTACAGCTCTTTTATGTCCCATCAATAAGAATGATAAGAATAAGAATGATGCAATATAGCAATTACAAAGGCATAGCCCTCCATAGCATGGCCTACAAAGGTCTCTAATTGGCAGAAAATTGAAGGAGCACATGAGTACCAAGGTGATCATTTATCAAACCATTATCTGGCCAGCAATCAGCTATGGCAGTGAGACGGGTAATGATGAAGGATATGAAAACATGTCTAAGCATGTGAAAAAGAGTGGAGAATAAAAACAAACAATGAATTGCAAGCATTATATCACCAACCTGATATGGCTGTTATAAAAAAGGGAAGGTTGAGATGGCTCGTTCATAGGGAACGTATATTTGGAACAATCACCACCTAAAGAAAATGATGTATGAAAAGTAAGGAGGTGCCCGAAGACATGGTTGAAAGATTTTAAGGCAGACTTAGAACAGCTGGAACTAAGAAAATCGAGAGCTGTTGCTGCCGACAAGAGTCAGCCTGGCAGGCAATATGTCAGGAAGTTCTAGCCCTTGGAGTACAGTAGCACTCAAATTAATTAATCAATTTATTCATAAGAAGAAGTTGAAAAATTATTAAATTAAGTACATCAGCAATTGATAAAAATGTATAAAGTATTGGATCTCAAAATAAAGATGAAAAAAAACAAAATATATAGTTTAGTTATAGAAACAGTGATAGTAATTGGGATATAGATATAAGAGGAAATATATTTGAACTAGAAGAGAGTTTAATAATACAAATAAAAAAACTAAATTCAAGTGGAAATGATGGAGAGGTCAAAGCGTAAAATGCATTAGTAAAATTACTTAGTTTCACATTTTCTTTCAGGAACTTAAAAGTTAGAATTCATAAAACTAATTTAGAGATGGGCAAGTAGGCGACTGATCAATTATAAGGATGAATCAAAATTGTCAGGAATTTCAGTCAAGATATTTATATCGGGTTAGCCAGCCGATGTATCAACTGTATCTAGTAACTTTAATTGAGGTGATGGCATTGCAACAGTTGAAATGGATGAATTATGGAATTGAAATGAATCAGTAGGATTTGTAATTAGCTCTGAACCAATAGAGTAAATGTCGAAGTGGTAGGCTAAGATGCAAGTAGGAGGATAGTGTTAAATCAGTCTTTGCTTGAAGTTTTGCCATGGAATCATGGAGTGAGGTATACAAGGGAAACTTGATGATATCAGCACCGAACCTTTGAATTTGCTAAGCAGATTTATGTTTATTTAAAAACTAGATATAATTTATATTCATGATTTTAATGTTGATTACCTTTGTGGAACTTCTGAATAAAAAGCTGCTACTCCCTTTTTCCCCCACTCCTCATTAAAATGATAGGTTGGAGGTAAAGCACAAATAGTTGTATCTGTAACACCTGGTGCAATTGACATGTATCGAATGTTGTGCTCCGCAAAAAGTTCTGGATGCTAGAATATTATATAAATATGATCAAATTATAATAAATAAAATATCTAATTTTAAACTAACTAACTAATGGTTTATAATATTAACAATAAAAGCAATAAGTCTAAAAAAGAGAGAAAAATTATATATATGCCAATTATACAATCTCTCAAACAGCCGTTTGACACAGACCTAACTGGTCATTTAAGGCATTATCAGTACTAAACCTAAAATGTTCACAACATTATTCAAGAAAGTATAAAAGATGGAAAAATAAAATAAATATGATGAAATGCAAATTAAAAATTATTTTTTGAATATATATTTTTAAAAAAACACATACACACACACATGTTAAAAAATTCCAGTTTATAATATTATTAAAGATGAAAATATAATAACAGAAATCATCTTACTCCATAAGATTTTACAGCTCCTAAGACACCATGCTTAGAAGCATTGTAGGCAATTAAGTATGGACAATAAGCTTCAAATCCAGAAAGAGATGAAGTGCACATAACACACCCACCCTTATTTAAATACTTAAGGGCAAGTTGGCATCCTCTCATCACTCCAAACTGTAAAAAGGATATTTCAATGTAGTACAATATTTATAGTCAAAATTAACAGAATAAGTAAATAATAACTAAGCTAAATATGAAATGTAATGAAAATTTTCTTAATTAGACTTATAAAGTCCTTTAAGAATAAAAATAACATTACACTACATAGTGGCCAGGAAATTCTGCTCTGATTCATTAATATAAATAAAAAATAAGTCGAAATATAGCATAAATGAGAATACAATTTTTACAGGAACTAAAACAACAAAACTGCATTTAAAAAAGTAAATAAAATTTGAAAAAAATAAATTAAAAGAAAAGAACATGATAATAATAATAATAAGTATATGGAAAATAATAGTGAAATGAACTGTGGGAAGCATTTGATGACCAGAAAAAGTAAGTTTAATATAAGATAATATTAATTGGATTGGGCGAGGAAAATGTGGTTGAAGAGGAGAGTTTTGAATGAGAAAACCGTTGAAGCATGGCGGATGATAGGTGGGATAGAGTTCAAGAAGGAGGCAGCTCTAGTGAGGAATGATTTGTAAAACGCCGCAGCTTGGTATGGAGGAGGGTAGACTTCAGAAGGATAAGATCGGATGGGACAGGATTTAATGGATGATTTAAATAGCAAGGTCCGTAATGGAAAGGATTGGTACTGAGTTCAGATTACCTGATACAGGTAAGATGTAAGAAAATACTAATACCTGTGAGATGGGTAGAGCCACTTTAGCTCGGCATAATACTGGGTTATTTACGTCTCTACCGACCCTATACTAAGCAATTCATAAACCGTTTATGTCATGCTTCAAGTTCGCTAGAAAGTCCACTTTACACCAGACAGCCGTAATTAAAGAGGGGGAACACAAAAGATGAAACTAACAGTTGTCAAGTTTTACTTGAGAGGATGTAATGTAAATTTGCAATATATTTCATTATTTTATTAATAATTTTTAACTATTGGCTTTTCAAAAATTCTTCATCTTCCAGATTGTGCCAACAAAGTTGTATTTAATATGTTTAACATATAATTTTTAGTAATACATTTTTGTACTCACGATAAAATGGTTTTTAAAACAATACATTTGAATTCAGAGTAACATTAAAATTTAATTAAAGTTAAACATTTAAAACAGGGTAACAGAATAAACATTTAATGAGAGAAAAAGTATTTAAATAGAACAAAAGTTGAATTCAAAATATGTACTTTGTAAGTGCTTAACCTAACACTAAATTTAAATAAGTGTTACAAAAAATAAAATATGCCAATCAATCAAATAAAAAAAAATATTAAGCTGACTGAAGTTCTTTATAACATAATTTTGCAATAATACTATGAAATGTCTAATTTTATCCTACCTATTGTTATGTAAATTTCATATATTTCATTAGTTCTTTGCATTCTTATTTTTTCAAAATAACAGACTAATTTAATTATGCTTGTATAAAGAATGGACATTAGTTTAAATATGTAAATGATGAGTAAACATATTTTCAGCAAATAGTATTCATGAAGAATTAACTTGTTCTAAAGGGACAATAGTCTCAGAATAATAAAATTATTTTCATTAAAAAATATTTTTTTTTTAACATTTGATACATCCCAGTTGACCCGATAATATAATCATTTTATTAGATTGATTTTTGGGGTTACTAGAAGTTCCTAAGCCTTCTATTATGTATACCAAGTTGAAGTAACTGAACAATTAATTTCTTTTTGTTATTTCAAATACAAATAATTCACTTGTTTTTCAATGGAAATATTTTAAATAGGAATGGATCACAGAACAAATTTTACAACTGGAATAGTTCGAAACAGAATGAGATTGTGGTATTTGTTGTTCCCAATGGAATGAAATATATGATCAGAATATGGTTTCAGGTTTCTTTCCATTGGTTAAAGCTTCAATCTAAGATTTCATTTTAATAGCTGTCATCTATTATTATGAGAAGAAGAAGAAGTGAGCTTCCGAGGTTATATTATTATTATTTGTAAAATATAAGAGAGATGTTACAATATATATACTTATTTTTCTTGTCACTCAGTGTCAAAAAAACATTAGGTTCCTGAATTCCCAACGATAGTTAAACACCCTCAAAAAGTCTATATCCAGTGCCTGGGGTTTTGTTTTAAGAAAATTAAATTCAGGAGTGTAAATAAACTAGTCCCCGACAAAGCGGAAGGCTATGAACAATTGCCGCCCAACAGGTTAATTACAATTGCTCCCAAACAAAGGTTATTTACTCTTTATACAGTTAATTATTTATCATCTTTAAATTAGCATTCGATAAGATTCATGTACATCAGTCATAATATTAACAAACTTAAAATACTTACATTAGAGGGCTACCAATCGATAGATTCTCTACAATCCTTATCATGTCATATATTTCTTTGTATCACATTTGCTGAATGTATATTAATTTGTGCAGTTGTAAATTTCATAAATAATAATAAATAAAATACTTACAAGGTTTACTTCCATTAATAGCTGCAAGTCATTTTCATTTACTAGTCCAGCATTGTTGATTAGAATGTCACAACCTCCTTCCTTAGATACAATTTCTTTGAATGTATCTGAAAATTATGGGATGATTACAATTAAGCTTTTCATTTTTTTTTTTAAATCTATATAAAGAAATATTTCTAAAATAATCTATCATAAAAGGTTTACTCCTATTGGCAATCTAATCATGTCTATCAATCAATTACCAACTATTTGATTTCATAATTTTGTAATGATTTAATATTTTCCAACAGAAAATATATTTTATAGGTAATAAATTTGCTTATAGTTCTTTCACCAAACAATGCATACCAAGAATAATTGAGCATATAAAAAACTTTGTACTGAGTGTTTTTTATAATTACATTTATTATATATATATATGGGGGAGCCGGCATAGCCCTACAGGCTAAAGCGCTTGCAATAGGTAATTAAAGTTAAGCAACGTCGAGCGTGATTAGTACTTGGATGGGTGACCGACCGCCAGGGAGAGCCATGCTGTACGGGACTCTTCCCTCCCCGGGTATGTGAGCCCATCAGCCTACTGGAGGCAACTCACACCGACCAAGCATAGGACTGAAGATCCTTCCTCGTATACTTAAATCAGGAAATCGGAATGTGGTTTACAAAGATGTCAGTAGTCTTCCTGAGGTGTGTTCCGTGGGCGGTCTGTCTCGGGAAAAGAAATATAGGCCTATTGACTCTGAGCGGCCATAATCTATTGATCTAGACCGATTTGTCACTGTCCCTGAAGCCAAGTGAGTTGGTGGGAAGGACACTGCCAAATTGGGCCCAAAGGGATCGGCTATGGAGCTACGGGTGCCCTACTGCTGAACCATGGAGGCCATGATTCGTAGCAACGTGAGGTTGGGTGACTCCCTCCAGGCTATCTGTGCTCCTGCTAGCAATATACGTCTGTAAGGAGACCACATCTCACAGCCAAAGATCTTCATGGTCTGTAACGCCAACCGAAAAAGAAAAAAAAAAAAGGAATATATTTACATACATTCAGAAATACGGATAACCGGAGAGTATGCTGACAAGAAATTTCTTATTATAAGCATATTTGTTAAGCATATTTAAGTGTCAGCACCTCTCTAAACCGAAGATGGTTCGTTAGACACTGAAAAATCTGAGCTCTTTGCCAATTATCTTTATTCTATTTTTATATTACACACATACTGCCTTCACTAATACTGAACATGAAAGACATTTATTCAACACTTTAGAGATTCCACTATAATTAGAATTGCCTCCACCTTGCATTACCTCAACAGAAGTTCCAAAACAAATTAAACAATTACCTTAAAAGAAAGCCCCTAGCCACGACCTCGTAATTACTAGGGAAAGCTCTAGTTTATCTATCTCCTATTTATAATGCAGAATTCAGAACTATGTAAATTCCCCTTACAATGGAAATACTTATAAATTACAATGATCCACAAACCAAAAAAATGCAGATTTACACTCCCTTCACCTTACAGATCTAGTCTGCTTCAAATATGTTGAAAAATCTTTGAGAAACTACTGTACAAAAAAAGGATTTCTTTATATACTGATAAAAAATAACATATGAACCATCCATCAATTTGGATTCTGACCACAATATTCAACAATCCATCAATTACACAAGGTGTAATTAACTAACAAAGTAATAGACTATATTCTGACCGAGGAGAAATGGTATGCAACAAGAGTATTTCTAGATGTCCCTCAAGTATTTGACAGAATCTGGCATCAGAGGCTTCTATTCAAACTTAAGAAGGTATTCCAGCCTACTTACGATTTTATTCTTCAATGCTTTTTTGATGTTGGATTTTTCTTTGTTTGCCAAGGCTCAAAACTTTCTACCATTAGACCAACCTTTACAGTACAGAAGTTCCTAAGAGGTCAGTTGTCACTCAACTGTTAAATATCATATACACATGCGATATTTCAAACTGTTTCAAAGCCATGACAGCAACTTATGCAGATTACACAACAATCTTAACAAAGATCAAAATTCTATGCACACCACACAGAATTAACAGCACTATTTAACAAAACGTAATGGCTGGTGTAAACTTTGGAAAATTCAAACAAGACAAAATCGAAACATTACTTTCACTCTTTGACATAAAACTTTTCCTCTTTACCATCATAATGTCCATATTCCTTAAACAGATAAAGTACAATATCTATGACTGGCATTTAAAAGAAGAATGATGGGTGACCCGAATATCAATTACAAAGAAAAACACTAAACTCAGACAAGGACTATATCACTACTTTCCAAATGTTCAAAATTAAACCTAAAACAGAAACATTTATATTTACTTACTCAAGCCCATTATAATCTGCTACTACTACTATCTAGATAAATGGGTGGCCAAAAACACTCACATACATGAACTATAAATTTTTCTTAACTTATAATAAAAATTCTATCAATCAATTAACTTAAAATTGGTTAAGTTATAAATTTAATAACATAATATGAAGTAATAGTCAACATTTAAATAGATATCAATCTGTAACAAAATAAAGTTAAGCATACATGATAAAAACTAACCTTCGAATTGTTGGTGGTTTCTAACGTCCAAGTGTTTATAAACAGATCTGTTCTCTCCATGTTTTTTTGTCATTTCTTGAACAGCTTTCTCCCCATCCTTGTCAATTATGCCAGAAATATACACTTTCTGAAATGAAATTGAGAATTAGCTGCAGACAATCTAGTGATATATACAATCAATTTACTAGGTACATCATATGTGGCCTGCCAAGAAAGATAACTGTATATACAATTCTCGAATAATATTGAATTTTCGATAGCAGATAAAAAATGGTAGTTTGAGAAAATAATTAAACAGTTTTCCTCCACATATTAAAAAGCCTGACTACTTTAATGAAGATGATCCACCATTAGTGATTACACTACATATTTATTTAATAATATTGCTGCCTTTGGCTGAAGTATTATTTTTCTTGATTCAGTTATTCTCTCAGCCTTTGGATGGTGAAAAAAGAAAGGAATAAATTGTATTTTCATTTTTTTTATAAGTATAACAATACAAGATTTTTATAATGGTTTATTATTATATTTAATTGAATAATTAACATGTCTTAATCTATTGCAAAGGCTCTAAACATTTTTGGGTCCATGGCAGATAAATAATTCTAGTTTTAAATAAAATTCTGCATTAGTTACATTAGTTCTGCATGGGTATATTTTAGAAAAACCGATAAATTATTATGAATGGAATTACAGAGGTGGTCAATTACTTAATTAATATCATTTTTAAGATATAATATTTGTAATTGTTAACAAATTGTCTGGAGACACTGTATTTTTATTGATCATTAAATACACCCACCCTCATACATGCATCCAACTTAATTCTAAATTTTTGTTACTTAAATAATTAAAATTAATTAATTTAGTATTGAATAATAAATATCAGGGAAAAATGTTTGGAGACCTCATGTGGCCTCCAAGACCACAACTAAATCACAGAGGCCACATGCGGCCAATATTGAACTGAAGCATCCATTTGCCATACTGCAATTAAAAAAAAACAATAAAATAAAAAACTGCAATTAAATATACATTATTAAAGTTCTCTACAGAAAAATTTGTATGGCCACGAAAAGATCTCTAACATTACCATCTATACTTTGTTTTTCCACTAAAATATTTTTTCAATTCTATTCTGCCTGAGTTTAATGTCCTTTTTATTTTAAACTTAAGGATTTTCTCGAATATTTTATTTCATCAAGCAGGCTGTATAATAAAGCTCTCAGACCATCCTGAAGCCAGATAATAAAACAGATAATTTAAATTTAATAAAAAGTGTGGGACTTACCAAGTCATAGGTAAATATCAATTAATATAACATGTAAAACAAGATTATTTTAATCAAATATAATTAAATAATTAGAATTCAAACCTTCAGTCCAGCAGCAAGGAGTGAATCAGCCATCGCCAGACCAATACCAGTGGCCCCGCCTGTGATCAATGCAATTTTCCCTTTTACGTCCATTAATTTACTGCCTTCAGTGCTAAAAAACATTATCAGATATTTTAATATCCATTTACACCTTATTTTCAGCAATAATTAAATACTTAGAACTTATAATTATTGATCAGCAATGGCTAAAGGAAGTTTTGAAATAAAATCACCCTTGAGATCTCCAAAGAACATGAGGCGTTTCCATCTACAATTTTTTTTATATGAATTAGATTCATTGATTTATACTTTCTCTTACCTATGTTCTTTCCTTATAACTAATACATGTTGTATTTCTCTCTCTCTCCCTATCTCACCTTGGCTATATAGAGTTTTTAACAGGACAGGAGAGAGGGGATTAGTACCAGAGTTAAATCCTTGGCACCTTATTTTCTTTTTCTCCCATTCCTCACTTTTTCGGCTTCATGGGGTTTTTCCAGGCTAGAGGAGACAGAGGGAGATCAATGCCAGAGTTACAAGTTCCCTTGGCACCAGGACTCGAACTTCTAACCTTCAGTTTATTAGGTTGCCAGACAACCCCTGTACTGCAAATGCATTAGCCCACTAGGCCACCCCGCCCCCTTCTATGGTTACTAGTTATATCCAATACTTACCTATTTATGGAATATGTAGAAAGGGAAAGTATAGCGAATCTGAAAGAATTTGAATCCGAGATTTCAACTGAAATACATGTTTTGAGGTCTCTTGAATCCAAATATTCAAATCTCAAAAAATGGTTTGGACTCAGAGGATCTCAAAATGTATTTTTTTTTGTTAAAGATTCAGATTCAATTATAGGTGTAGACTAGGTGGGGGGGGGGAAGACGAAGGGGGGGGAGACGAAGGGGGGTGGTCGCCTCAATAAAAATGTTGAGAGCGCGAGAATATCATTTCGCCATATATCATTATTATTAGAGAATATCATTATTAAGTTCAGGGTTTATTACGAAATAAGTTGAGATTCACCTCAAGTTGTATAAAAAATACGAGATGTTTTGATATCCTGTCAGCGTAAAGCACCCGTATTTTGAACAAAAAGTAATACAATAAATGACTGCAAAGCTTTAATTTATTTTTTCCCAATGCCTGGGATGTATTATCATAAACATAAATTAATAACATTATTTTTATTTTTATTTATTACAATGAAATTTGTTAAAAATAATGATTTTCGAATATTTATCTAAAGTGATAGTAAAACTGAGTTTTTTTTATTAAGATCTCTGTTATAGAAATTGATCCATGTTTATAAGTGACTCATTAAACGTTTCCAACCCTGATATCTGCCTGTAGAATATATAAGCACGCTGATTGCTTGAATTATTCTCACGAAATCCTAAATAACAGGATTGGAAACATTTATTAATTGATCACTTATAAGGGATCAATTTCTATAATACAGAGCTTAATACAATACACAGTTTCATTACCATTTTAAATGGGAAATATTTGAAAGGTCATTATGTTTAACTTTTTTTTTTGTAATAAATAAAAGGTGTATTCACAAATTTATGTTTATATAATATATCTCAGGTAAAATAACTTAAAGCTTAATTTAATAATTTATTGTAGTAATTTTTGCTGAAAACACGGGTATTTTAAGATGACAGAATATCAAAGTATCTCATTTTTTTACACAACTTGAGGAGGATTTAAACTTATTTCGTAAGAAACCCGCAACTTAATTAATATAGACTTAAAGCATATTAAATATAAAAGTTTTTTCTAAAAGTAGGATGTCCAGAGTATAGGTGGATGGTGATAAATAAAAATCGCGAATGGTTCATGATTTTTTAAAAATGGTACTTAGCTTAGTCCGCTCAGAAGTCCTTTTTAAATGGGTTTAACTATGACAAACTCAACTTTATTTTGAAGTAAATTTTGTGTAGTTTGCAGTGATTCAATTTTTAATTAATTATCTTAAATTATGTTTTTGTTATTGCTTCCTATTCATCAAAAACCACGACTTACTTAAAAAAACACAAAGCTTAAATTTCCTACTATTCTGCCGAAAATCGAAATTGTTTATATGAACATTTTTTATAGCTCTTGAGGTCTACCATTACTTGTTTAAATATTAACTTCTACTTATGAAAACCCTAAATATCAACATATCCTACGATTTTAAGATTCATCACTCCTCAATTTTCACATGATATTCACATTTTCTGTGTGGAACTAATCAGACTGTAAAAAATGTTGTATCTTTATTTGATGTTGTACACACCAAGAAATCAAAAATATTTTTTACATCATTTATTTTTAGCTCAAATAGTTCTAGAAATGTACAAAAAGTATTATGAAGGCTGTTTCTCTTCCGCCCTGTGTTTAATCTAAACAAATACGTAAATAACAATATGTTCAATTGTATTTTTCTTTTTAGATATTTTCAAGTATATATAATGAGTAAAAAAAAAAAAAATCCTTACAATTGTACAAACATATAAACAAACATATTTTGAATATTCAATATTATATTTGTTAGTTGAACAATAATTACGTTGAATTTGTACATATAATAAAAACTCCCATAATTTTTTTTTTAATCAATCGCCCCCCAATCAAAATCGAAAGTCTGCGCCTATGGATTCAATCAAAATTTTTCACAATCCCAATCTTTCTCATACTAAATATTTCATAGAGGTAAGAAAAAGTAAAAAAAACCTAAGTGTGAACATTTCCAGAGCTCTATTATACAGTCTCTACTAATAAGAACAATAACATTTTGATGATGATATAAAAATTATGACATGATGTTTTCTTGATTTTATGAACTTTGAACCCGTCTGGCTGGTCTAAAAAAATCCTCCGGGACATTTTGGAACATGTCAGGGTTGCCACAAGATTGATAAGAAATTGTATCTGCTAATGCCTAAATTTCAGTACAATTCTTTTTAATTTCTATCTGCGAACAATAAATAAACAAATTGTTTATCTGAGAAGGTATTTCTCAGATAAACAAATTTGTTACCCGAGAAGGTATTTCTCTAGATATTTATAAATATACATAAAAAATAGAGAAAAGAATCTTTGGATTTCTTAGATATTGATGTCCATCATTATGATATTAAGTGTAGTTTTTGAAAAAAAATTATAAAATTCGAATGCACTCCCAAATACTACATCACTGATAACCAGTATTTCTAAGAATGTGAAAAGTTTCAGTAAAATGAACCCGATTGCGCAATCCTAATATCGATAATACTTTCAAAAACTAAGCCCCGAAGACATAACAATACACCTTGATATTGCTGCTATCCGATAAGTTGAAAAAAATGTATATACCATCTTTGAATCAGTAAAATTTCATAAAAGTGCGTTTACTTTAATCCCAATATGGATCCTATTATTAAAGAAATTTTGATGAAAAAAATATTTCTTATTATAAATATGAAAAAGTTGAACAATGGAAAAGAACTCTTGGCGAAGTGCATTTTGCAACAACATATAAACCAAGAGTAATTTGTGTACTTGACTAACACTACATGAGTACTTACTTATAACGGGTTGAGAACTGAAAATAATCAATACTTTTATTCTTGATCTCTTTTCTGTTCCTCTAGCCTCAAGAAACTTCTTGTATCTTTCTCCGTTCATTTGCATGTCATTATCGAACCATTTGAGCATTTTTATTTCAACTGCTTTCAATATTGATGACACATTAACATCTCTAATTTGTTCATTTCAGATGTAATCACTTCTATTTCGGCCACCTACTCTCTTCTTCTACTTCATGAAGTTAGTTTGCTTTTATGCCTGTCCTAGTAGGACCAATCTCTCACTAGCATATTTTCATTTCTCTACGACTGAGTCACAGGACTAGCAATACGTAACATTTGCTTTTTTTGATTCTGTTTGAAATTTCTTGATCTATTTTGCCATTTCTTCTAACATCTGTCCCTAAGTACATTTTTTCATCTACCAAATTCTGAGGTCTTACCCATAAAGTTTACTTATATTCGTTTTCAACTTCAATCTCCATCCACCTTTATGATTTAATTTTCTTCATCATTTCTGACCATTCCTTTACATTCAAACTCAGCTCCCCATTCCACGACTGCTTGCTGTAATGTTTGAGTCTGTTGTAAGGACAATATCATCTGGGTATAAGAGAGGTACGGCTAGTATCGCCCTTTGCCTATAATTACAGATTTTTAAAATTAAACTCATAAATATATACATATAGTAGTGAGATGAGATTGTCACCTTTCTTGACCCCTATATTCATATTAAAGCTCTTGGTTTCTTCCCTATTAATCCTTATAATTCTCTTAGAATCTTTATATGTTGATTGTATGACTTAGATAAGGTCTCCTGGGATGTTCTTTTTCAATGCATTCCATACCTCTTCCCTTGGAACAGAATTGAATGCTGCTTTTATATCAATGAAAGCCAGATATACATTATTGTCTCATACTTAGTTTTATTAGTGCTTTGATCTCTTTTCCGAATGATTTCATATTTTCTTTATAATCTTTTCGAAGTTTTTGTACAAATTCTTTCCAACTTTTTCTTTTCACTGTTCCCACTGTCGATTTCGTTTCATTTCTTCTTTGGACATACGATTCTCATATAGCATTATATTTGTTTCTATTGTCCCCTACCTTGTTTCTTTCTTTGAACTTATGTCTTAACGCTTTCTGATTTCCACCCATATGATGGCCACATTCTCTTCGATGCAAATGCTTCTCAATTTTTTTTTTAACTCTTGGGTGTAGTTTTCTTTATTTTTTCTTATGAGAAGTTGAGATTCATCTATTTTCTTGTAGCTTTTACAGTTTATTTCTGGAGAGGATAATTTGGGTGTCAGCAATTAATATTAGGTGGTCAAAGCTTATTTCAATTCCTCTTATTATCTTTAGATCTTTAAAAAAATCTTATTTGCCTACTGTAGATAAACTAGTTGATGGTGCTGTTTGGGATTTCTTCTATGGGTGGTAAAGGTATTTTATCTATTTTTTTTTGGTAAAAGAATGAATTTCCTAATAGAGGAACATGGTCAATACAGACTTTGTAATTTCAATGGTTTTTCATCCATATCTGTCTATCATTCCATGAGCTCTGTTGAAATCACACACCTTTTTAGCATTAAAGTCACCCATAAATATTTATTTGGGGAGATATTTCCTGAATCATTCCTATCAGTACAAAATTTGTATGCAATTTTAACAATTTTTCATTGTTTCATATTGTTAATAATAAAAATAAATGATAGTTTTAACAAATAAAAAGTATACGAAAACATGCCAGAAAAGTATCTTATTCGAAATAAATAAATATTTGATAATACATTAAAAATTCATACAAAATATAAAATTTTTATATAAGAAATATAAATTCTAAAGGTAATAAGACATTTTCACAGCATTTCATCAGTGAGTGCTTCATAATTTGTAGAAAATGATAATCTATACCAATAAAATAGGAAATGGCACATAAGCAATAAGGCTGAATGCGAAATTACCATTTTTTAAATTTAGTTTGCGTTCTTGAAAAAAAAAACGGAGAAAAGTAACGATTAAAAATTATTAGAAAAGATTGTTAAATAAAGTTTTAAATAAAAAATGGCTATTTTCAAATAAATGTGATTATATTTCCATTCAGTTACTTATTAGGTATTTAAAAAAACTGGTCAAATAGCAACACCAGCGAATAGTAATGCAGTAACCAGCTGCCATCACGCAGTTAAAGGTTGAGATAGGTGGACACTGGTTGGGGAACCCTATTATATAGTTTTGTGAATATCTAAAGAATAGAAACCATAAGAAGCTTTAATAATTAGAGTTTAATCATACCAATTTAACATTATAAAGAATATGCCAGTACATTCAAATGAACCTCCCTTAATGAAAATTGAACTATACAATGAAATAAGTGAACAGCTCACAAGCCAGGTAACAAAATAAAAATAGACTACCACTACAACCCAGAGGTCTTGGGTTCAGTAGGTTCAGTACTAATTAGGGTAAGTACAGATCACACTCGACCATCAGGTTTTCCCCTTAACGATTGATTTCCCCGGTTTGATTAATTTTTTAATTAAGGGGAGCCACCTTATTGCGGCTGGGTGTGCCCCAGGAAGATCTTCCGATCCCAGGGTCGCCCAAGGTTTTTACTTAAGAGATAAAAAATAACTTTACAATCCTATTAAATAATTGTTTCACTCAGTTGGAATAACTTCTTTTCTAATTAATTTTTATTCCATTATGGAATATTTATTTTTAAAAACTTACATAAAAGTTTATTTTCCTCTAATTCCCTTGCAACATGCCTGTTCAGAAGAAAAATTATAGTTTAAATAAAAATCTTGGAAAAGTTAACATTACAAATCACTCTTGATAATATAAAAAATTGAGTAAAAATAAATTGATAATGAGCTAACGAATTTTAAAGTAAGTAGACATTTAAAATTCTGATAATATAAAAAATTGAGTTTTGTAAAAATAAATTGATAATTAGCTAGTGAATTTTAAAATAAGAAGACATTTAAATTTCCGATATAATTATTTTATTTTATCATAGAACATTTATAAAAGAAAACACCTTCAGTACCACAAGAATAAATTTTGTGGTGCCAACCTAAAAATAAAATATAATTGCGTCATTCTCATAAAACTTTATCTTTGTAATTGGAAAATTTTACTTTGATATTGTTTATACATATCTCTAATCATTATGTTTCCGGCTTCAATTTTTTTGTATATTAATTTCCCATTTCCAAGAGTTGGTGGTAAAAGATGGTACTCCCAAAAGACAATTTTTTAAAAATTATTTTGCTTTAGGTACTAGTTACTAGCACTAGCGGATCCAGGATTTAATTTTGCGGGGGGATCCAGCCCGGAAGCTTTTTTTTTCATATATATAACGATAATTATTTTATAAAAACAGAAAGATACTAACTACCTATATGAAATGGTGTTTAAGTGATTCTTTAAGTCCTATTAAATGTAATTAAACGAGCAATAATATTTTAAGACATAATTTTTTTACATTTTTTACCATAAAACATGATTACATTTTACCATTTGGTACTAGTTCATAAGAGTTCCGCACGGATTACGCGTGGTTCACAATCACTTCGATCACACTTGTTCATGGAATCCCGAAAACAGCCGAATGTTGTCTTTTATGACGTCAGCTATTGTCCCATAATACAATCCCTTTTCATGCATTTTTGAAAAAAATACAACGTATTCCCTTTACGGAACTTCCTTATTAAAAAAATGTGTATTTACTAATTAGTTAATTATTAATTTTTATTATAACGGTTATTACTTTGAAAGAAAAAGAAAAAGAAACATAAAATAATGTTTGAGTAGTTTCTTCAAGCCATATTAAAAAAAAAAGCTTTTAATAATAACATTTTTATTGACACGTGCTTATATGTAGTGGCTGTAAATACGCATATACTGTATTAAGTAAGTACGCATATTTATTAAGTATTATATTTACGCATATACTGTATTAAGTAAGTACGCATATTTATATAGGCTGTAAGTACGCATATTTATAGCAAAGTTCTAAACAAAAAAGCACCATTGCAGGAGACTAAAAATCTATTAGCATTTTTCAACTCACTCTTATTCACAAATTACTTTTTGTAGACAAATTAATACATAATTGTTAGTACTGGTATTCTGAGGAATTTCCATATCATCAGACTCCAATTATCCATACTAATTATGGGAAAAATTTTGGAAATCATTAATAAAGTTTGGAAATTTTGGGAAAAACACAGATAGGAACAGCAACTTGTTGAGCAACAAAAGTTTGCTTCCACAGACTTAATGATGGTACCAAGGTAAAATTGAGATATAAGATCAATTGTGATCCTGTGAATTAATTAAAATTGGAAAAACATATAGAAATATTTATATGATAGATAATAGGAACATTTTAAGTTTTAATGAAAAAGAAACTTTTGATACACTGTAATTTTAGTTAAAATAACTTGTTAAATTAGAATTTAATTAAAATAATGAGTTAAATAAGACATTTTTCAGTTTGAACATATTTTTAAAACTCGTAGTTAATTACACTAGCGGATCCAGGATTTAATTTTGGGGGGGCTTCAGCCCGAAACCTTTTTTTTCCATAAAAATAACGATAATTACTTAGGAACAACAGGAAGAAACTAACTACCTATATGAAATGTTGTTTAAGTCATTCCTTAAGTACTTTTAAATGTAATTACACGAACAATAATACTTTAAAGAGATAATTTTAAAAAAATTTTCCCATAAAACATGGTTATATTTTTCCATTTTGGAGGGGGGGGGGGGGCTTCAGCCCGAAAGCCCCTCCCCTCCCCGTAGATCCGCCCGTGGTTAATTAGATACTACAATGAGATCGCATGATCTCTCTGTAGATGCAATTCCGAAAATGTCCGGAAGTAGACGGAAGTAACCGAACTCTCTGATAAGGATCTGATTGCGACTGGAAAAGACCAATTGAAGTACAGGAAGTCTTAAATCAAGATGTAAACGAAGGGAGGTTATAATCAGGAACCTATTGCCAAGTAATTTAATCAATGATGGAATTACATTTAAAATTTAATCTTGAGATCTTGTGCCTATCCTTGAAAGTGGAGCAACAATTAAGTAAAAGTATAAGTTTACAAATATTCATAACCATCAATCGTCCTAAATTTAAATTAAGTTGAACTTATGAGAAAATCTATAATTAATGAACCTTAGTGTCTAAAGAAAATGATCCAATTGCATCTAATTTTGAATTTGGATAGAGCATGTAGCATCAAACGTCTCTTTTTTTTTTTGGACCAAGAAATATAATTTTTAATTTAATAATAATCAATAATTTAATAATAATAATCTACCTACCTTGCCATTATATTTGATCAGACAACTAAGCTGCTTGAATGAAGTAACTTTTCAAACTGACTACAGAATAAAAATTACACATATATATATCAGGAGACTTCCAATCGACTAATTACAATTGACTTTTATCCTAAATTTATCATGTAATGTAACTGGAACCACTTCACTACAAGTTGCGCAAACAGTGATATGTCAGGTTATCTTGTATTTGGAACCTACTGTCAATAGAGATTCAAGGTCTTATTTCTTCACTTCATTGGCGCTAAATGGATAGTTAATACTTCAAATTATTTGTATTATTTTTATTTAATCGATAAATAAATAAATTGTTGCTATACCAAGTGAAATACTCGAGCAACAAAAACTTGCATCCACTTGCGATAGCTTAAGATCTTTTTCTCATTGGAGGAAGATAAATTATGAAGAAAATACATTTTTGCACTTTGTGACTACATTAAAAAATATTGAACATGTTGATTCTAACTGTCCCTGGCCAAGAAAAGACTTTTTTAAAAAGCTTTATGTATTTTTGTTTTGTCTGCTTTGTCCGGATTTCTAGATTATCGTCATATCCTAATATATTTATTTTTTGGTGAAGAATAAAAAAAAAAAAATATTCTTTTAAGTATTAAATAATTTGTTCAGTATAAAACATTACATTGTGTAAATACATGTAGTATGAGTAGTGCCTTAGGAACGGGCACTTCCTATTTATTATATAACCGGTTGATTATGGATTGTACTACTATCACTTATTAAACTATTATTTTCCGTTGTAAAGTTTACTAAAATGGAATTAAGAGATGTGCATTGTCTGTCATAGATAGGTCAAATGTTGTCATACAAATTGGAAGTGGATGCAGTTGGAATATCACAAAAGGAAAATTAATCAATAATTTAATTTTCTAAAAGGTTAGATGATGATTTTTCGGAATAAACGGATGAGAAATACCTAATAATTTAAATATAAAATCAGATCTAGAGTTATTAAACTACAGTAAATATATTTAAGATAATTTACATATCCATAAAATATTTTTATATTTCTCTTCTTCTTTCACACAAGTACAATGAAATATTATCTTAAACAGCGTCATTACCTTGAATCCGTGAATTTTAAATACTTTTTTCAACCTTAAAAATATTTTAAAAGCTTACATTTAGTTAGTAAATTTCATTTAATTTACTTGAAAACGTGTGATTAATGTGAAATAATATTAGTTTTCAAAAAATATTATTTATAATTTTTCGCCACTCTCCGTCACCTACAACTTTCTATATTAGATATTGCTTTTTCTGAAATTCTCCGCTTTCCAACGAAACGTATACCTTGTGACTAGTATTTCCGGTGATCCATTTTCGACCTGGGTTAGCATTTTTATTTTTCTCTCCTTTATTCAATTATCAAAAGTTATATTTAGCATTTTTTTCGTAACCCTTAATAATGTGAAATGATTAATTATTTAAAATAAACTATATTAAAGGTAATAGTGGTTAAATAGTTGACTGTCGTGAATAATGAGAAGAAGAATAATTGGAGTGATCAGTCAAATAAGATGGCAAAATAAATGATAATATTTATTTTGTCATTTGCCGAGGTTTCGATCTGAAGTTCAGGCCATCATCAGGGCTAAGACAAGAACCAGATAACAAGGTATGAGAAAAATAAAAATTACAGTAAAATGCAGTTGTTAGAATAATGACAATAGTAAGAACAAGAGACAAATAATAATGTCAGATACAAAGTGTGGAATGATGAAGTAAACATAGTCAAAAAGGCGACATAAGTAAAGGGAATCTTAGAATAAAATGTAAAAGAGAAAACTTTACTACATCTCAATTTTCTGTCTAAATATTCTATTCACAATATCTCAATTTTACTATTTATTTCCATTTCTTATATAACTTCATATTTTTCTCTTTTACATTTTATTCTAAGATTCCCTTTACAATACTTATGTCACCTTTTTGACTATGTTTACTTCATCATTCCACACTTTGTACCTGGTATTATTATTTGTCTCTTGTTCTTACTATTGTCATTATTCTAACAACTGCATTTTACTGTAATTTTTATTTTTCTCATACCTTGTTATCTGGTTCTTGTCTTAGCCCTGATGATGGCCTGAACTTCAGGCCGAAACGTCGGCAAATGACAAAATAAATATTATCATTTATTTTGCCTTCTTATTTGACTGATCACCCCAACTATTCTTCTTCTCATTGTATTAAAGGTACTTCAGAGGAAGACGTATTTGAACATTGGGATTTGAACATTAAGCCCTGTAAAGTGACATCAATGGGGATAAGACCCAATCGATATTAAAGACCACTTAATTATACAATGATAGATCGAATTTAATCAAAATCGTTCGAGCCGTTTTTTAGAAAATTGTAAAAATGTGTTTCAGGTTTGACATAAAGTGGCATTTCCGGTTAGCCAATTTTAAGGAAAAATTTTCTGTCGCATCCAAGGCAATATACCTATCTTAAATACCTAATATCAGTTTCGTACGACTTTTCGTTTTTGAGCTAAACTGTTCACATACATACAGACACAGAGAACATTTAGCGGGACTTGGTTATATGGGCTCAGGGCACCTCAAAACGTGTATTTCCGTTGAAAACTGAGATTCGAAAATTTCCACGATCGAATAGTTTCCCTTATATTACATATAAGTAAGTGGAAGTAAAAAAGAATTACAAATCGTATGAGAACTATTACCTTTAGGCTATCAATAAATCAACTGTATTATAGATAAATTGAATGAAATAAACTTCAAATATTACTTAAAACAAAACAGCTTAAGACATAAATTTAATTTTTTTGGAAGAGGTGTCGTCATTGCGCGGGAGCGCCAAAGTCTCTGGCCCACACTAACATATGTATGAGTACATATGAAAACAAATTGAACCAACCTACGTAGAAATGTCGTAATTAATATATTTTTTTGGAATAATTAAGTTCATATTCGTTTGTCGCACCTCAAAAAACCCTTATATACGAATTTTTAGAGCAATATAAAATTTAAAAATGTTACTTCGATTTTTTTTTCGTATACCACAAAAATTATCATATCTTTATGAGCACTTCACCGACCCATACGTAAATTATCTGGGATTTAGAACCCTCAAGACAACATGAAATGGCACAAACCTTATCCCCGTAAACAAATTAGAACCAGAGTTTAAATAAATCGTTTGAGATGTTTTTCTGCAGAATAAAATCAAAAGGTTGTTGATATCGGAAGAGCAGTTACTTAATTATCTAACGGTAATATTAACATTGAGTTTGGAGGAAATTTTAAGGAGTTATGAGTGAGTTAGTTAACAGTTGGGGAAAAAAATCTACAAGAGTATTAAGTAGTAAAGTTTGTATTTTTTAATTTCCATAAAAAATCTTATCTAAAAGTTTTAAAGGACTCTTAAAAACCGAATCTAACTTGCCTTTTCATTACAAAAATTTACTTGGCCTATTTTATGGAAGCGTCTCTTGGTTTTCGTAATGTATGACACTGTATAACTCATTTAATACTCTCGGTAATATTTTCTGGACAAGTAAATATATTGGCATAAAATAACCTACGAATCCGGGAAAAGCAAATCCAAAAAAAAACAATATTTTTTTAAAATTATATAATTTCTTTTCTCGGTTCCTAAGGATTCATTGGAACGAATTCCGATATATTTCTTAATGTAAAAACCATAAAAATATTGTTGAAATCCAAGTTAAGGCGAAAAATCTGTAGATTATCAACTCCGTTAATTAAGTTTATATATTTATTATTTATAGTTATATCTGCTGGTTATACATAAAAAAATAATTAAAAAATAAAAAAATTACTAATAAAAAGAAATGGAAAGAACAATGAAAAATAAAAAGTAGAGATGAAGTTTCAGATATTTTTAAAAATTCCTTCTTCGCAAAGAAAAGATATGACTTTAATCAAGACTTCTCCTTTCTCCCAAAGATGTCGATGTATTATACTTGGTGGTATCCCTTTTTCTTTTAACTTACTGATGTAAAAGGCGCAACTCAAAGATATGGGCCACTCTCATCTTCTTCCCGCACCTTAGGCAAATGGGCGTATTTTCATGAGATACATGTCTAGCATTACATGGTTGTTTTTAGAGAGTGAGGAATGCCAGTGACATTCCTAAATGTGTAGCTGAGAAGACTTGCATTTATCCTTTTTTTTCTTTCTTTCTTGATCTTATAATTAAACAATTCCACTGTAAAACGAAGAATAATTATGTTTTTTTTTTAAATAACTATTTTCAGTTGTAATATGAACTTATTATTGTTCAGTGACCGAAATTTTAAAGTGGAAACTCTTATACTGTTATTCCACAGATAGGGAGACCTAAAAATATCGTTATTTTGAAGTATCAACTGTTTTTTTTAATTGCTTAAAACCAGCAGTCTTCGAATAAAACTTTTTAATATAAAACAATCAAACTGAAAATGCTTTCGATCGATTTTTGGTAGCGATTAGTCCTTTTTATTTGTCCGTATAAATTTCGGATGCAATGCAGTTAATGGGATGCTGTTGGTATTCACCTCATTTATGGAACAAGCTTGTTAAGTCCCAATTTAGCATGGAGAAAAGTTATTAAATATAATTATTAGATACTTACAATTGTTACATATATTATTATTAGCAATCATATCTTTATCATTACTTATTATTGAAGGTCAAATTATTTATTCGAAACAAAGAATCAAAAGTACATTTATCATTCGGTACCTACTTCTTCAGAAATACCTAACACGGCAGAAAACTTCTCAGGGTGCTCACGTAAACTTTCAACTGTCTTGTAAAATTACTAAAAATACTTTTTCAATATTAGTTTAGGAACTTTTCGATATTAGCGTTGTTTATTTACCCCTCAGAGCAATAAAGTGACCACACAATTAGTTTCAATGACATCCATAAGAAAATTGTTAAAAATTAACGATTAATTTATTGCAATCTAAATTTCTCTGGTATATCACTCATTGTCCCTTCAACGTAACCAATAAATCGCTTCATAAAGACCTAAATATAGCACAAGTGACTGACGTAATTAAGAAGTTTTACAAAAATTTTCACGACTCAGTTATTGGACATCCTAATCCTCTTGTACAGACATTACTAACAGACATACTACCACAGAATCCAACAAGAAGACTCAAACATCTCTGGAGCAAGGATCTGCTAC